TGGAATAGATGTGTTCAGTATATCACTCTTGTAAGAAGTACATCATAGGGTCATAGAGGTAGCTTATATACTGCAGTCAGGTGAGTCGAAGCAGGAGGAGGCGGGACCACAGTGGGACTGTCCGCTAGTGTAAGTAGGTCTTCGTCCAAAGGTTGGACAATGTTGAAGAATTCTTTGTAACAACATCCCATTATGTTTCAGTGTCTGACAGATGTGATGAATGGTTTTGAAAACCAACAATATGAAAAACTGAGACACTTATGCAACATATGGGAATCTTTATTGAAGAAACGTTTCGCCACATTGATTGGACTGATGACTCAACTTTAACATAATGGGATCTTGATACAAAGAATTCTTCAGCGCTTGTCCAACCTTCGGACGAAGACCTACTTACACTAGTGGATGGTCTCACTGTGATCCCGCCTCCTCCTGCTTCCACTCATCTGACTGCAGTATACTAGGCTACCTCTCGGGCCCTATGCTGTACTTCCTACAAGAGTGATGGACTGAACACATGACTTCCTGGCTGAGGGACTGATTACCTCAAACTCCTCCTCTCCTTATACCTTCCTACTTTGTTTTGGACTGATGAAGCCACTGTGTGGCGAAACGTTTCATCAGTAAATATTCCCATATGTTGCATAAGTGTCTCAACTTTTCAACTTGTCGGTTTTCAAAACCATTCATCACGGAATTATTGAAGCTTATTGCTCGGGTAGCGCTTATTTTGTTAGTGGGTTGGACTTGTGAAGGAGCTGCTACTATGGGCCAGCAGGCCTAGTGCAGTGTTCCTCCTTTCTTATGTTCTAGACTAGAGAGTGCAGATTCAGGGCCCTAAGTGTATCCTCATAGGGAAGATTTCTGATACATGGGATCGATTTTGTCATCCTCCTTTTTACGTTTTCCAGTGCATTTATATCCATTCTGTAATCCGATGACCAGAATCGCAATCAGTAATGTTAAGATGTTCATTATTTAGTTTATATGTGGCATGGTTATTTTTGTGTCCAGTGTTCATAACTGCATTCGTCAACATTAAACTGCATCTGCCACTTCTCCGACCACTGCATCAGTCTATTCAAATCTTCCTGGAGTGCTTTAATGTCCTCATTAGTATGAATTAGGAGACCTATTTTGGTGTCATCAGCAAACTTGTTTATGTCGCTATTTATTTTCTCATCAATATCTTTTACATAAATTGTGAACACCAAAGGGTCCCACACTGACCCCTGTGGAATACCACTCATGACGCGACCCAACTATGATTTCTCCCCATTGATGAAAACACTCTGCTGCCTATCAGTCAACCACGCCTCTACCCAGGAAAAATATTCTCTTCCTAATCCGCGTGCTTTAATTTTTCTCAATAGTCTCTGATATGGAACTCTATCAAAAACCTTACTGAAGTCCATATACACAATATCATATTCAATACCGTGATCTACCTCCTCAAATACCTTGGTGAAAAAAAATTTAGTAAATCTGTAAGGCAGGAACGCCCCTTCGTAAAACCATGCTGAGATTCATTAATCAATTTATGCCTTACAAGATGGCTACGAATTGCCTCGGCAATTATTGATTCCATAAATATTCCCACTATGAAGGTAAGGCTTATTGGTCTATAGTTCGAAGCTAAGGACCTGTCAACTGCCTTGAAAAAATACATATTTCATTTGCCATTTTCCACTTGTCTGGCACATTGCCATTTTGTAGTGATATGTTAAAAAGACTAGCCAAAGGTTTTCAAAGCTCCTCTTTACATTCCTTTAACACCCTTGCAAACAGTTCATCAGGGCCTGGGGATAGTTTATTAACGCCCTATTCTACATAATTTATTATTTCTGGGATTTCGCTAGTATCTTCCTGCATAAAAACTGAGAAGAAATAAGAGGTAAAAATTTCACACATTTCCTTGTAACTGAGTTACTTCTGAGTGGGCAAATCTTCTCCCTAATTTTACTCTTATATACCTGAAAGGCACCTTTTGGGTTAGTCTTCGAATCCTTGCCACTTTACCCTCATAATCCCCTTTTGCTTTTCTTATTCTTTTTTTTATTTCTCTCTTTAATTTAATAGATTGACTGCTTAACTGTCCATCCCCTCTTTCGATGCGCCTATATATATATATATATATATATATATATATATATATATATATATTATATATATATATATATATATATAATATATATAATATATATATATATGCCTCTGATTTGGCCAATGAGATGCTTTAATTTATTGTTTATCCATTTGGGATCATTTTTAGTTGATCTAAGTTCCGTACTTAGAACATAATTTGTCTGGGCAGCTAGAACTATGCTCTGAAAAATATAACCAACACCACCTACCTGACCCAAAGTCAGGGCATTCCAATTTAACCCACCCAGGTAACTTCTCAGTCCCATGAAATCGGCCAAGTGGAAGTCAGGGGCAGAGACCTGATTGCAGTTATTTGGGTAATTCCATGATATATTGAAGCTCAGTAATTTGTGATCACTTTCCCCAAGCTCATCATTAATCAAGATTATTAATTAGCAATTCCTTGTTGGGAAGAACTAAGTCAAGCAGACTGTTTTCGCTAGTTGGTTCTGTCACAAACTGCTATATAAAGCAATCCTGAATCGTATCAAGAAAGTCACTAGACTCAATATTTCCTGTCTTATTGTTCCAATCAATTTGTCTAAAGTTAAAATCTTTATATCTAGACGTCTTACGAATTTCATCCCATAGCGGCTTACTGTGTTCCCTATCAAGATTTGGGGGCCTATAAATCACACGCAAAATTTATTTGTCACCACCCTCGAGAAACTGTAGCCAAACAGATTCTGTGTCCGATTCTTCTAATCTTATATCTTCTCTTACAAAACAATTTAAAATATCTCTGATATACATCGCCGCTCCACCACCCTTCCTGTTGACCTTGTCCTGGAGGTTACCTGGAGGTTATTCCGGGGATCAACGCCCCCGCGGCCCGGTCCACGACCAGGCCTCCCGATGGATCAGTGCCTGATCAACTAGCTGTTTACTGCTGGCCGCACGCAGTCGACGTATAGCCCACAGCCGGCTGATCGGCCTGACTTTAGTATCTGTCCAGCTCTCTCTTGAAGGCAGCAGGGGTTTATTGGCAATTCCCCTAATGCTTGATGGGAGGCTGTTGAACAGTTTTGGGCCCCGGACACTTATGGTGTTTTCTCTTAGTGTACCAATGGCGCCCCTACTTTTTATTGGCGGCATTTTGCATCGCCTGCCCAGTCTTTTACTTTCGTAGGGAGTGATTTCTGTGTGCAGATTTGGGACCATTCCTTCCAAGATTTTCCAAGTGTAGATTATGATATATCTCTCCCTCCTGCGTTCCAACGAGTACAAGTCAAGTGCTTTCAAGCGTTCCCAGTAGTTAAGGTGCTTGACAGAACTTATACGTGCAGTAAAGGATCTCTGTACACTCTCTAGATCTGCGATTTCACCTGCTTTGTATGGAGATGTTAATGTACAGCAGTATTCCAGCCTAGAGAGAACAAGTGATTTGAAAAGGATCATCATGGGCTTGGCATCTCTCGTTTTGAAAGTTCTCATTATCCATCCTATCATTTTCTTTGCACGTGCGATCGTGGCACTGTTGTGATCCTTGAAAGTGAGATCCTCAGACATTACTACTCCCAGGTCAGTGTGGAATAGTATATAGCCTTGTATGTGGCATTCAGAAAGCATTTCTCTATCTTTCCGGTTGAACCAGGTATCCGTTGAAGCAATAATATCTACATTACCGGCACATGCAAGTAAACTTAGCTCATCAGTCTTATTTCTTAGACTCCTACTATTAGTATAGTAAACCTTAAAGGAGCCAGTCACTCTCTGCAATCTACTGTCTTTCTTTGTTGATTAATTGCTTTGCCTTTACTAGCAACTTTATTCTTAATATTGTCTATTAAGCATATCCCTGAGGTATACTCGTAATGTCTATCTACTGTTTTCAACCCTTGTACTGCAGCTGTGAAGAGAACGATGAGTTTGTGTTAGTATTTCGTGCATTTTACTTACGGTCTGATGGTCAAAAAACCGAGTAACAATCTAATTCACGTCTACTTGTTAATGATTAAAGGGAGCATCGCCCCCTCGGCCTGATCTCACATCATACCTCCTGGTTAACAACTTGATGAGTCGGTCTGACGGCGCTAGCATCATTATCATTATTAGACTCAGTGGGGAGAGCTAAACTCGTAAGAACCATACAGGAATGGGTGGCTATGAGGCATCTTGATCAAGGAAAGAGGGGATATCTCAAATTTCTATTAATCAAGATCCCTTCACCAGCATCAACGCATACATCATCTAGGAATCACTCAGTAGAACGCATGTATCGCAGTCCTTATCACCTACTGACTTGAGGAACTTTTTTAACTATGAAGACAAGATGTTTAAGTCTTGGGACCTTTATTCCAAATTACACATCTTGAGTTATCCCTTAATTTAACCTTGGTTATCTCTTAGTAAATTCTTAATTATCTCTTCACTTTACACTTACTGAGTTATCTCTTAGTGTACTTGCTGAGTTATATCTTAGTACACTTACTGAGTTATCTCTTAGTGTACTTGCTGAGTTATATCTTAGTACACTTACTGAGTTATCTCTTAGTGTACTTGCTGAGTTATATCTTAGTACACTTACTGAGTTATCTCTTAGTGTACTTGCTGAGTTATATCTTAGTACACTTAATGAGTTATCTCTAAGTGTTCATTCACTGTAACAATAACTCCGTAAAAACAGTCAAAAGAATACTAATTTAAAAATCTAACGATATTTACTCTGACATAATATGAGTTGACTGAGATCAAAATAAATTATACATGAAAAGTTTTGTACAAAATAGGTATAATATAACAATTAAAAAAATATTAATGTGTATATATCAGTCAGTAAAATTTTTTTCGGAATGATTTATTTTTAAACATTCAGCGCTCCCAACTCTTCCTAAAAAAACATGAATGGTACATACCCACAGTACTGGCTGATCCTGGTTCCAGGCTCGGGAATTTTTTAGCATAGAATCCCTGATGGGAGTCGCTTTACTGGCTTGCCATGTGTTACAGCCTCCCCAGGTGCCAGCTACCATGCTCACCCCGTGGTGGGCGTTATCCCGCATCACGTGGAAGCACTGCAGAGGATAATAGGAGGGAAAAATCAACATAATAGGCAACGTAACTTACAACACGTTGCAGGGATTAATAAAAGAAGATGTAATGAGAGAATACACGAGGGACAGTTCCTGGAAACAAGTAAAATGTTGGAAATCCTTCTACAAAAGGCTGGTTTAAATCCCCCATAGTGAGTGTTACTCAGTTTCCTTTTTCCTTTTTCGCTCATTAAAATTAAAATTAATGCCATAAAACATTATAGCATATAAAATATAGACTGTATATGGTTGTTTCACAAAGTTATACAAAGGAATTATTAAATATTTAATATTATAGATATCCTACATGAAGGATATGGAAAGTAAACAAATAAATACACCGAGAAATGCACAGCTCTGTGTACATACAATCACAATTACTATATTTAATATTTCGTCAATAAATGTACCATGTATAGTCCACAGTAAACTAACCGACTAAAGTTGCATTCAAATTGATTCAAATTGACTGAGTCTGGTAAAAATAACTCATAAGTGAATAGAAGTTAATGAGTAATTTTTTTTTATATTTTATTTAAAACACACATTACAATAAATAAATAAAACCATACAGAGTCAGAAATACAAAAACAATTATGTCCGCATAATCAAAACACACTGCTCGTTTATATTGCCTTTAGAAAATTTCCTCTTCACATGACTCAGTACAACCACCAACACGTGTGTGAAAAACAAGATAACACAATATTATACCCGACATCAATCATATTATTTCAAGTTACAATAATATGTGACTTAGTAGACTGCACACGACTGATAGTTGTAAAATGTCTTTATACAAAAACAAAGGAAAACTGTGCAAGCAATACTTATTATAAACAGTTCTCAATTACCCGTTCCTATCAGCAATATACACATTAATTAAGTATATGTAATAAAATATGTTTGACCAGTACCCCCACAACCCCCCCCCAGTACCCCCCCCCCCCGCCACCCCAGATCCTACCATTGTTCAGTGATCGCAGATAAATAACCAACTTGATTTAAATCTTGAATATAGTCTCTTGTTGACAATAAAAAAAAATTTTCTTTATTATAAGAAGCATAGATGATGTCAACATGACAAATAATATTTAGAAAAAAGAATATAAGATTGAACTTAGTATTATGACTAACTAAAAACCATTCATATAATTATGAATGCCGTCATCCATGAGACCATTACATATGATGTAGTCACAGACTCACATATTACATATTCTTATATGTACAAAAATTGATACACAATATTACATGACTTATGAAAATTTATATTCACAGGAATTATATCAGTGTCATATATGCCCATTAACTTACATAAGATTATAAAAAATACCGAATCAATTTATTAAGCCTCCTCGCATCCCCATGCTCGATATACACATTAATTAAGCACATTCAATAACAAATATTTTTAGGACATTTCAACTACCCCCCCCCCCACCTCATTTACCTCAGATCATCATATTGAACAACGTCATACCATTGTTCATTGAAAACAGAGACAAATAACCATCATAATTTAACCCCAGGACATAGTTTCTTGATGACAGAAAACATCTTACCAATAATGTAATATGGATATTATTATATGCACATTACAATTTGACATTAAGAAAAATAGCACATGGTTGAACTTATTATTATGACTAACACAAAACCCTACTTATAGTTAAGAATGTCACCAACCATGGTAACATTACTCCTGATATGTTCACAAACTCACTTGGTACATATACATATATGTACAAAAGTCGGAACATAATATCACATGATACATGATTGAACAATATGTCCACAGGATTTATAACAGTGCCCTACATGCCTGGTAACATTTATAAGAATATAAAAATACCGAACCAATTTGGTGCGCGCCCTGGCTTCCCCGTGACCACCCATGATAAAACATATCTACATTTAAAGCTTTGCCCTGTCATGAGAGTTTTCTGTTTGAAATTTATGCCAGGAATACATTCATCATCCCGCCCCCCTCTTCTGGCAGAGACCAATTCCATTTAACTATTACACCATTAATTCTCGCAACCTACGCACATTCATACCTCTATACTGAACTGGAAATTTTATATCCTATCTCCTTCCATACACGACCTCATTCCTACACTTTGTTTTATGAAAATACCCAGCTAAAGCCTTGTATTCGCACCTCCCCTCCACCTCCCTCATAGCCCACTACCAAATACATGACCACACTTCTCACGCTATCACCCACTCCCTCTATGTCCAAACTCAATGCTTTCAATGCCATTAACCTACCTCCTCCAACCATCTCTAAGACCTTATGATACCATAGACGTACCCTTGCGATACCCTCACAAAAATACACCACATGATATGCAGTCTCTGCCTCCCATCCACAACATGTGGACTGCACAATTCTCATCTGATACAAACGTACTTTAGTAGGTAATATCCCATGTAAAAACCTATACATAGTTTCCCGCACCCTTGACTTTAAACGTAACTTGCGAAACGCACCCCAGATACCTGCCCAACTATATAAAGGAAAGACACTCTCCCCCTCCATCACCTCATTACCCCTCACAGTCCTCCCCAAAACTCACACCAACACTTTTCCCGGTATGCTAACCCTCAATAAAAATCTCAACATACACATACACTCCTCCAATTCCCTACCCCTCCCCCCCCACCACTGGCGCACATCATCCATAACCTCACTCACCCTTACACCCCGATCCCCACCCAACCGTATATAACTATGTTTCACATACATACTTTTCAGTCTACTGTACAGTGGAATTAATCCTAATCCTCCCCTTCCCAATGATGTTGTCACGACTGTCTGCTTAAGCCAATGATAATCATTAATTTGATCTACTACCTGTCAGCCATACTTTTGTCCCAAGTTCCCTCCCACCCATGAATCAACCTCTAACAATTTAGACTTAACTGCATTACGACGCATACCTGTTGCCCCACTAAATATCTCAACGATTCGACCTACATTCCTTAATCCCTCTTCTCCCCCAACTAAAACCGTCATATCGTCAACATAACCCAACTATACCAGGAGCACCCCACTGCCGTAATCCCTCTTCATCTACCCCAACATTAATCATCCTATATAAAGGATCTTGTAGACAAGCAAATAGGATCTGAGACATGGGGCATCCCTGTCTCAATCCCCTACCCATACTAACTACTTTTCCCATACGTCCATTGATTTGCACCTGTAGTACTGCGCCTTTGTATAATGTTTCCGCCCATCGGACAATTTCCTCGCCCAAACTCATGAGCCTCATTATCATCCATAACGTCTCTCACTCTACACAGTCATAAGCAGCCTTCCAATCCAAAGCAAGTACACCCCCTCCACTCATTCTACAATCATCTATGAAATCCTTAATTTTCCCATGTCCACTAATCATTGACTACCCCAGCACACCCATTTGTCCCTTATCTATAACTGTCCCAATAACTCTACGTAACCTATTACTTGGTTTAGAAAGACACGTAAGCAAACACTATGACACATTTATTAGAAAACGTTTCAGTCCTGGGACCTTGATCACTTTAAATGATCAAGGTCCCAGACCGAAACGTTTTCTAATAAATATGTCATAGTATTTGCTTATGTGTCTTTCTAAACCAACTTATCAGTATTTATTACCAAGTTTTATACAACCTATTACTTAAAACCCTTGAAAACAATTTGTAATCACCGCACATTAAAGATAAACCTCTATAATACCAGGATGCTATTCTGCACTTCCCCCTTCGGAATCATGACAACAACCCCTGTTCGTTGCGTCATACCCATGCATCCCTTTACCTTCCTTTCATTTAATAAATACATCAAGCATTCCTTCAAGACCTCCCAGTTATTTAAATAAAAATAATTTGGAATGCCATCAATCCATAGCGTCTTCCTTACACTCATCCCCTGTAACGCCTTCAAAACCTCATCTTCACTTATGGGCCCCTCTATCTCCACCCTGTCTTCTGGTTCCAGGATACGTGATATCCCTTCCACCATAATATGCAAGCCCCCCATCTTCCTATTCCCTCCTCTCATATATATCTCAAACCATTCATCGGCAAAACCACTCATACCTTCAGTCGTTACTAACCGCTGTCTCACCCTGTACCCACCCACTTCCTGATGTACCTCTAATTTTAACATATTCATTATATTTTGCCAGAACTTTAATCACTGCAGAATGCAAGCTGATGGCTTATCACACCATAAAACATCCTCCAACCCGCCCCTTAATCTTTCACCATCAAACCGTGCATTCTGCATCTCCAGCAGTTGCATCTTTTTACCCTCGATCTCTGAAACCGGATATACTCCACGACAACCTTCATAACACTTTTAACTGCCCCTCCAAATACCTCTGTAATCCATATTTCCATTGTCCAACCTCCCTTCCTTTCCTCATATAAAAACTACTGATCCCCAGTTTAGCACATTGCTCCCACCACAGTAATATATCACCTCCCAGCTTTCCTTTATTCAATTAATTTTTCCACCATTCCGCAAAACTAAGTCCACCCTCCATATTCTCTAACAAGCTCACCTTTAGTTTCCAATAACTCATAAAATGTTTCGGCAACTCACCCCATCCCACGTCCACAACCACTCCACTATGATCCGAAAATACTACATTTACAGTTTCCATATTATTAACTTGTATCCCAGGAGATACATAAATGCGGTCAAAGCGTACCGCATAACCGTTCTTTACATAAGTATGCTCCACCACCCACCCCTCCCCACTAACTACATCCACTAATTCGACTCCCCCTAATACATCCCACAGGACTCCCAACACACACCCAGCGCCCCGCGGCTCCACAACCTTCCTACGTATTACACTATTCCAATCCCCTCCAAATAATGTATAAACTGGTAATCCCCTCATATGATAAATTAGTGTCCCGAACAAACTCCTCTTTAACACGCCTTGCTGTCCGCCAGCATGTACACACTCACAAAACAC